GTGAGAAGAATTTAACAAAAATATAATAATCCCCTTCTTTTAACAACCAGTGACTGAAATGAAAGACATTGTGTGAAATAACAGTTGAGCTGAATTTGGCTGTCTTCTGGGTTGTATCACCATGTTTTCTGGTAGAAGTTTCAGTGAACTTCTACCAGACTACACAGTGCAGCAACCCAGAAGACAGCCATCTTCAGACTCACCACCATGAAACTTCAAATCCTATCACCATCAGAACTCTTTATGTATTTTATGTTTTTTTTGTAGCCCCTCTTGCAAATTCTGGGATGGTACCTTAAATTAGGCTATTTTTTATTAGTCTGTGTTTTAATTGTTAGTTCTGTTTCACTGTGACAATGTTTCATAGGTTACTGTGGTATGTATTCTGGTTACTTCAGGTAGCAAACAACTGCCTTCTGATGGTCAGATCACTTTACAATCTGTGGCTTGCTTACATGGCCAGGGTTAATCAAATCCAGGCAGGACTATAGATGAGGGTAATACCATTGAAATTACATAACTGGACAACTTCAGAGTGAATTTACGTTTATAAGTGCTTTGTACTTGGAATGAATTATGAAACTGCTTACTCACCTTCATCTAGTGCTGAGGTCAAGGTCTGCATCACTTGCATACATTTAGAGTGTGGTTAGGCACAGGGATATATTTATTTGTAGTCTGCAAGAGAGAATCAGAATCAGAATTAAGGAAGTGTTTATTCATGCACTAATTTGAGTGCTGTGAGAGCAGTAGATCCTAACTAGACTTAATTTTCCACAGTTGATCTTCATGGCAACTTTGTTGTGTTTGACTAAAATCTTAATAAAATAATTTAATATTTAACTGTTGAAATGAGAGGATTACGTGCATCCTATTCTTGGTATGAATGCTGATTCAATAATGATGAACACAAATATTTTAAAGTATAATGTAGAATAACTGCATAACCAAGTAACCAAGTGATTGGGTGGAAGAAAAAGAATTGAATACTCAACATAGGTTATGATCTTGAGCTAGTTCCATCTACCCCTGATGTTCCTTCTTTCAAGTTGTTTAGGAATTACTTTCCCATCGATCCTGTATACAAGTTCATTCCACTATAACCTTGATGTCATTATTGAAACAAAACTAGCTGCCTTGTGCAAACCACAGAAATTACTAGTTTGTAATATCTGTCATGTCATGTCCAAATGCATTTCTGAGCACTGTATTTTGAAACACTTGTAAACTTTGTCCTGCCCTCAAAGTAAGAGACCACTGTTCTCAACTGTTCAAAACAACTGATGAAATTAATCTTTATTTACATGTACAAACATATTTACTGTTTTGGAAACTAAATTAAGTGGTAACAATATTTCAAGAAAATAACAGTAAGCAGTTCAAGAATTTACATGTCTTGATTTCATTATGTATCTAATTTTTGTTTTTTACAATTGTGCTCTAGTATTTTGAAACAGTTTTAAATTATTTATTTTCAGAAGAGAGTGCTCAGGAGAATATTTGGACCTAAGAGAGAAGTAGTGGAAGGTTAAAGAAAAACTATGAGTTGCAGTGTTTGCCATGTCATACTGAAGTTTGCTGCTTTCTTTGTTTACATGTTTTTTTTAGGTTAATAGAGCAAGCTGGAGTTACACAGAGACGGCCTTGTGCAGAGATATTTCTGGAAGAGTGGGGAACAAGTGGGAGGATACGTCCAGATCTTGCATACCTGGTTCAGCTGTTGGGCAAAGCACAGTTGTTCAGAGCAGCAGATTATGTTACAGACTTATTGAAAGGTATGGCACAATGATAAATACTTTGAATAACTAACCATCGAACTAGATGGCTTAGGCAACCTGAAGGTTTATCATCAAATTAACCAAAGCCCTCACCTGGTCTCTGTCCTGGGCCAGGAAATTCCAGTCACCTTCAACTCCTGTCTCCCATAGATCCTGCCTGATATTATCCTCCCATCTACGTCTATGTCTCCTCCCTTCAGGCTCTCCAACCAATACTTGTTATACACCTCTTGCCCCATCCATATGTACCACATCTCCTGCCCATCTCATTCTTATTGACTTAATCACTCTGACAATATTGGGGCAGTAGTACAAAATACCTTGACTAAATGATGTTAATTGTCCAGTGGAAGGCCTCCAGCTGTGAGGTGACAGGAAAACCAATTTGTTTCCTATCCATTGTGACTCATAATTAAAATGATCTACACCAGTATTACACGGGTGTATGTTGGAGATCTGGTTATAGTTCATGTTTTATCAGACTTGTTATTTATGACCACCTGATTTTCATTATCAGGTAAATCATTTAATATCAGTTTTTAGATCAACTCTTCCTTTGTATTTTTTTTTATTCCTACAGAGAAGTGAATAATGATGTTCTGATTCCATTGTTATGCTGACTGAGGAAAACATGTACATCTATATAATGTATACATACAGTGGAGCTTTCACGGCAACTGAAGTTGATAAAAGATTCCCGGGTTACAAGCCGCATCAGGTGGCCAAACGGCCAATAAACCATGTCTTCTGCTAACAGATGTGTTACCCAGCAGCCTTGAGGATGAGAGCAGAGATTGTTCTCAAAACATTTACAAGAGATGATTTGAAGATTTCTGTCTTCTGGGTTGTTAATCTTCAGACTCACCACTGTGAAAACCTCGAATCTTACAAGAGATGATTTATTCACTGTTCAACCACCTGACACGGCTTGTCACCCAGGAATCTTTTATGTATTTAATGTTTGACAGTGACATTTTGTTCATTAATGGCCTGCTTCTGTTTCTTTGTTCTGCATGCTGTACTGGACAACACTGAGTATCTGTAAGGCATGCATTAATTGACCTCATTCCCTTAATGATTGTAACTTGTGTCATAATGTAGAAGTGCTGTACCTGATATTAAATTTTCAATTGCAAAAGATTTTTAGAGGGGCTTGTTTTTGTGATGATGTGATGATGCAGAGTTTCTTAGGAATATGTGTAGGGTGCTGAACAGAATGTGTGTACAACAACACATTGCAGAAAAAAACACCTTGGCTAGAACTCATGACAGTTTTGGTGGGAGGTTTCTGTTATTTGTTTTGATAATATCTTTGTTAAAACATTGCTGATCCTGTCTGTGTTCTACCATTATTAGTTTCCAAGGTACAGAAAACATCTTTATCACTACCCAAATGTGGGGCAGATTTTTAGTGTTGTGATTTTTGTTCCTAAAATCTTCATATCAAAACATGTGACATCTTCACCTCGACTCAAACCCAACCATTTTCTTGTGACTATTTTTGAAATGTCTCTTCTAAAATGAACAAGCGTGGTCTTGGCTCTGTCATTCTGTCATGCCTAGTTTCCAAGTTACATAAACATCTTTACTGGGACTCAAATCCAGGACAGAGATTTTTGTGGTTGGGCCATGTTCCTGTAATTTCCTTGGTGAAACAAACAACTTTGGTCTGGGTAATATTCTGTCAAACTTAGTTACAGAAACCATCCTTATGAGGATTCAAACCCATGACTGTTTTTTAAAAAAGTATATGCATGGAGCAACTGTGCCAAAATTATTCATACCAGTATCATGCATGGAGTGTGGTGGCAGTTATCCACTTACCAAGAATTGTTTAGTAATCAGCTATTTTCCATCAGCTCCCTCTAGAATTTTTATTGACTTCTTTATTAATTAACAGGAACTATATGGTCATAAGTTCTAAACATCAACATTATCATCGTCAGGGATTAGGCACTATTGCCTGTTCCAGCTTCAGGTTGATCTTTTCATCTTCTTTGTGGTTGACCTCAATCTGTTTTTCCACTAGGTTTGTAACTGAACACAGCTTTAGGAAGTCTTCCTTCGGGCATTCGTTCAACATGTTCTTTCCATTTTCTTCTATATTCTCCAATTTTGTCGATTGCATTAAACATATTAAGTTCTTTCCTAATGTCTTCATTTCTTGTTGTATCTAATCTAGTACATCCTTTAGTTGATCTGAAGTATTGCATTTCTGCTGTTTGGATTCTGCTCATATCTCTTTTGCCTAATGCCCATGTTTCTGATCCATAGAGCAGTGTGGGAATCGCCATCACTTTATAAAACCTAAGTTATGTGTCCTTCCGTGTTTTTCCTTTTAGGGTCTTTTTAAAAGTTCCACAGATGTGTCAGAATCTATTTAATTTTCTATGTAAATCATTGTCATAACCAAAGGTGATATCACAACCAAGGTAGGAGAAATGGGATACCTGTTCTATGATCATATTATCTATAACAATTTTTGTTCTAACTGGAAGTTTGCCTTTAATTCCATAGTTCTTGTTTTAGCTATTGAAATTTTTATATTATAGTCTTTGCAAATTTGATTAAGCTGGAAAGTAGATTTTTGGAGTTCATTTTCATTTTATTATAAAATTATTTGGTCATCTGCTAAAAGCATGGTATTTATTGAAATATTTTCATTAAGTATTATGCCTGGATTAGCTGATTTTTTCCATATTCGAATAATATCGTCAATATAAATGCGAACGGGGTTGGTGATAATCCCCATCCTTGTCTTACACCTTGGTTAGTAAAGACTTCATCATATTGAATGTTTCTTTTGTCTATTAATGTTTTTGTTCCTTGGTAAAGGCTTTGGCTGGCTTCGTTCAGTTATATGGGAAATCCACTCTCTCTCATTTTTTGCCATTATTTTTCTCTATCAACTCGATCAAATGCTTTTTCATAAATACGTATTTCTAAGTTTAATCCTCTGTGCTTTTCAGCCACTTGTTTTAAAGTGATTATGTCATCAATTTTGATGTTTATAATATTATAAACACCAAAAAACTTCTTTTATTTCTTCCATTTTGATGTGATCAGTATCCTCATTTCCTTCGCCAATATTTGCCATTAGAGGGGCATTGTTATTTATGTATTACATTGATATTTGCATTGTCTCTTTCTTCATTATTTAGTTTTCACAGGAATATATATGCTAAAGTCTGCCTACCATGTTGATCATATTCTATGTTACTAATGAATCGATCCCAAGATTCTTGGTGAGCCCTATGAATAATATTTTTTGCATTATTTCTATTGCTCTTACAGATTTATCTAGTCTCATCTGTCTTTTTTTGTAGATAATTCAGATATGCTGTCTGTTTATCTTTGATGGCTCTTTCTATATCATTATTCCAGATTTTTAAGCTTTTTGGTGTTGATGTTTTGTTCTTCATTCCTAAGGCTTCTGATGCTACCTTATGGACAATGTTTTTTATATTTTCCAATTCCTCATCTGTAGTGTTTTAGTTGTTGACTCTTTAATTAACTGGTCTGTTCTTTGTTGATAAAGATTCTTAATACTAGCTTCTTGTAAAAGATATATTTTAAATGTAAGATTTGAGGTTTTCACAGCGGTGAGTATGAAGATTTATTTCTTTGTTGGTGTTTTTTAGTTTTGATTTTCTCTATCTTGTCCATATATTAATCTTATACACAACCAAAAAATGGTCGGAGTATATATCATATCCTCTAAAAACATGGGTATCAATAACTTGCTGTAACAATTTACGATTTACAATGATATAGTCAATTACAGATCTTGATCCTCTAGCACTCCAGGTATATTTATGTATGTCTTTTTTTCTATAGAAAGTATTTATTATTTTTATATCAGTGAAAGATGTAAAATCTTTCAGTTCCTTCCCATTTCCATTTAGACAAGTTTCACCAAATGTTCCAATAACAATGGGATTGGGTTGATTGCCTACTCTGGCATTAGACCTCCAGCTAATATCATATAATCGTTTTTGTTACAGTTGTTAATGTCGGTTTTATAATTTTTCATAAAAATGTTGTCTCATCCTTCATGCCCTCTTCTGGCGCATATATATGGTGAAGTAGCCTTTGCTTATTCTCAGCCTCACACTAATAATTCTCTCATTGACATACGTATAAATCTTTAGTATATTTTTCCAGTGTTTTTTGAGCATAATAGCCACTCCATAAGTTGCTCTTTTATGTTGGGAAACTCCACTGTAAATCATCACATAATCTCCAATGTCCTTTGTACCTTTCAAGTTTCATTTTGTCTCTGTAATAATTGCTATACCTATAGACTTTTTTTTAAAGATTTTTCAACAATTCCATTTCTTATGTAGATAAACCTCAAACATTCCATGTGGCCAAATTCAATTTATCTAAATTCCAGAATGCTTGTCTTTTTTATTTCCAGGTCATATTCCATTATTTTCATCCAATGGAATTATCTTTTGAAGCTTACAAGTGGATTTTGTTCTATATGGTAAGGGTACCAACCTTATGCAAAACCCCCAACCTGGAGGACCAGGGTATCTCATTTAGTCAGACACCTACCCACTGTCAAGTTTGGGGTTTGGGAGACTCTGTCAGTAGTTAAAATACCACTGTCATAGCTCTTCTCCTTTGAAAGGGTTACAAAGTTCAAATATCTGCGAACAACAATAGCAAATCAAAATGATACTCATGAGGAAGTTAGGAGGAGATTAAATTCTGGAAATGCTTGCTACTTCTCAATTCAAAATATTTTGGCTTCCCGTCTGATTTCTAAGAACCTGAAAATTAAAGTGCAGTCAAACCTCGGTTCATGAACTTAATTCGTTCCTGAAGGTCGTTCGTAAACCAAAACTATTATCCCCATAGGAATTGATGTAAAATGGATTATTCCGTTCATGGACCCCAGATGATTGCTTATTTAAAATTTTACAACAGTACTTGTGCACAAGTTCTTAACACAAAATCAATGGAAACCATTAAATCTATCACAAAAAAGATAAACACAACACTAAGCAGATCAAATATAGACGAAAACTTAATTTAGTTTTACCGTACCTGTATGGAGGAGAGTTGAGGGCGTAAGTGGAAGGTGGTGAGGAAGTGAAATGTTATTGTTTGGAAGGGGATTCTTTTTCTTTTTTCTGTCCCTTGGCACCACTCAACTCTGCATCAGACTCACTGGGCCTCTGTCTCACTAAAAAGTTGTCCAGTGTGATTTGTTTTTGTCTACGTTTTAAAATGTTTCTAAAGTGACACATGGCATTATCATTGAAAATGTTTATGCTGC